TCTTAAGGACAATAGTCATATTGGATTAGGACCAACCCCACAGACCTTGTTTAATTAATTAATTAATTTTTTTGAGGAAGAATAGATTGAGAAGAGCTGGGGTGGGGCTGGCCCTGTGGTGCAGCCGTGAGGTTAGCACGTTCTGCTTCTCGGCGGCCCTGGGGGCTGACATGGCACCGCTTGGCAAGCCATGCTGTGGTAGGCGTGCCACATATAAAGCAGAGGAAGATGGGCACAGATGTTAGCTCGGGGCCAGGCTTCCTCAGCAAAAAGAGGAGGATTGGCAGTAGTTAGCTCAGGGCTAATCTTCCTCAAAAAAAAAAAAAAAAATAGGCTCTGAGAAATACCAACATTAATGTGGTCATAAAGGCAAGAAGCACTTGAGTTGCCACAAACATAGAAGAACCAGGAAAAAAAATCCATGGGCTATAAAGAAGAAGAGCATTTCAAGGAAAGCCTGATCAACAGCATGAAATGTCAAGCATGCCAAGGTCACATAATCTCCTTTGGATTTAGCAATTATAGAGTCACTGAGTAACTAGGAGGAGTGAGAGGGAGGTAGGGGATGGCTTAAGGAAGAATGACAGAAAAGGTCATGCAGGCAGTGAATACTTTGTGAAGGAAAAGAGTAAAAGATGAGAGATAGGAAGGGATGTAGGGTCAAGGATGTGATTTCTTTTGGAAGAGAGCAACTTGAGGGGAAAGTGTAATTCAAGAGCAATTTATCGTATATTAACCTCTGAGTCACTCATTGTTTTCATTGAATTTCTATCTCATTACTTCCATTTACAAATATTTTTCCTCCAAGATCTGTCCTGTCTTCTTAAACAGCAGGAAACTTTTTGCTTTTTATAGCTGCAAAGTATTATATCCAAACTTCTGAAAGTACTGAGTGTCAACTATCTTTTATTCTTTAGCTCACATGTCAGACCTGCCATTGAGCTGTACCACTTAAGTGAACCAGGCTCCTGAATGCTCACAGCTCCTGAAGGTTCTGTACTTAATTATTTAAGTTCACGACTGTGGTTCCTCTCCCTCTGCTCCTGTTTTCTTTTTAAAGATATGCTTTTTGGTGAGGAAGATTGGCCCTGAGCTGACATCTGTTGCCAATCTTACTCTTCTTTTCTTTTTCTCCCCAAAGCCCCAGTACATAGTTGTATATCCTAGTTGTAGGTCATTCTAGTTCCTCTATGTGGGACAACACCTTAGCATGGCTTGATGAGTGGTGCTAGGTCCACACCCAGGATCCAAACTGGCGAATCCTGGGCCGCCTAAGCAGAGTGTGAAAACTTAATCACTCAGCCACAGGGCCGGCCCCTGTTCCTGGTTTTGACATTTTCCTTCATTGCGTTGTAGGAAGACACACAATTAAAACACTTTTTTTTAGGGAAATGAAACAGAGATGTAGCTGTGGCATTTGGAAAAAGTGTCAAGTACGGCTGGCCAAAGAAGGTTACTCTCTGCTTGGCCATGAGTGGATCCCAGGTGTTCATTTAGGCTCTCGAAATCCGTTTCTCATCTATATAATAATGGTACCCATCTTATAAGCTTGTTGTAAGGATTAAATGCCACACCTCTTGTAAGCATTCAATGATGTTTAGTTTTATTATAATTATTAGGTTTATTATTAAAAAGATGTGACAAATGGATCAAGCAAATTCTATTTGATTGACTATAGGTTGTAAGACGGTTCTTAGGTAAATAATTGCTCATTGAGGCTATAGTAAGAAAAAACCAAACTGATCTCATTTACTTAAATAATTAGGAAGTCTTTTTCAATACTGAATCATACCTTAACACCACAGTGAAGATTCTTAAAAAGGAAGACATCAACCAATCCCTCCAAATGCCCGAACGATTGTATAAGCCATTTAGAATTCCTAAATATTATGTAGATATTAGGATACTAGCATAGTTATTCACTTTTTTTTAAAAAAATTCAATTTATTTAAACCAAACCGCCCCCCCCCAAAAATTCACCCATTCCTCCTATTCTGCACCCCCACCCCGCCCCTGCCGGCAACCACCAACCTGTTCATTGTATCTATGAGTTTGGTTGTTTTTTTAGATTTCACATGTAAGAAAGATCATACAGTATGTGCCTTTCCCTGTCAGACTTATTTCACTCAGCATAATGCCCTCGAGATTCATCCATGTTGTCACAAATGGCAGGATTTCATTCTTTTTTTTCTCCCCAAATCCCCCCAGCATATCGTTGTGTATTTTAGTTGTGGGTCCTTCTAGTTGTGGCATGTGGGACGCCGCCCCAACATGGCCTGATGAGCAGTGCCATGTCCGAGCCCGGGATCTGAACCAATGAAACCTGGGGCTGCCAAAGTACGCAAACTTAACCACTTGGCCACCGGGCTGGCCCCTTCACTCTTTTTTACGGCTAACTACTATATAGAGAGAGATAGGTAGGTAGCTAAACACACACACACCATAATTTCTTTATACATTCATCCATCAATGAGCACTTAGGTTGTTCCCATTTTGGCTATTATAAACAATGCTGCAATGAGCAGGAGGGTGCACCTATCTTTTTGGTTTTTGTTGTTGTTTTTGAGGAAGATGAGCCCTGAGCTAACTACTGCCAATCCTCCTATTTTTGCTGAGGAAGACTGAGCCCTGAGCTAACATCCATGCCCATCTTCCTCTACTTTATACTGGGACGCCTACCACAGCATGGCTTTTTGCCAAGCTGTGCCATGTCCGCACCCGGGATCTGAACCAGCAAACCCCGGGCCGCTGAAAAGCGGAAGGTTTGCACTTAATCACTGCCCCACCTGGCCGGCCCCTGTATTTCCATGATGATTAACGACCTAGAGCATCTTTTCAGGTACTTGTTGGGCATCTGTATGCCTTTTTTGGAAAAACGTCTATTCAGATCTTCTGCCCATTTTTAAATCGGATTGTTTGGTTTTTGGTATTGAGTTGTATGAGTTCTTTAAATATTTTAGATATTAACCTCTTATCAGATATATGATTTACAAATATTTTTTCCCATTCAGTGGGTTGGCTTTTCATTCTGTTGATGGTCTCCTTTGCTGTGCAGAAGCTTTTTCATTTGGTGTCGTCCCACTTATTTTTGCTTCTGCTGCTTTTGCTTTTGGTGTCAGATTCACGATATCATTGTCAAGACTTATGTCAAGGAGCTTACCACCTATGTTTTCTTCTAGGAGTTTTATAGTTTCAGGTCTTATATTTAAGTGTGTAATCCACTTTGAATTAATTTTTGTGTACGGGTAAGACGGTGGTCCAGTTTCATTCTTTTGCACGTGGCTGTCCAATTTTTCCACCACCATTTATTGAAGAGACTGTCCTTTTCCTATAGTGTATTTTTGGTTCCTCTGTCATAAACTAATTCGCCATACATACATGGGCTTATTTCTGGGCTCTGTATTCTGTTCCATTGATCTATGTGTCTGTCTTAATGCCAATACCATGCTGTTTTAGTTACTATAGCTTTGTAACATAGTTTGAAATCAGAGAGTGTGAAGCCTCCAGTTTTTTTGCTCTTTCTCCTGATTGCTTTGGCTATTTGGGGTCTTTTATAGTTCCATACAAAGTTTAGGACTGTTTGTTCTCTTCCTGTGAAAAATGCTATTGGGATTTTGATAGGGATTGCATTGAATCTGTACAGCACTTTTTGGTCGTATGAACATTTTTTTTTCTTTTGCTGAGGAAGATTTACCTTGAGCTAACACCAGTACCAATCTTCCCATACTTTTGTATGTGGGATGCCACCACAGCATGGCTTGATGAATGCTATATATGTCCACGCCCAGGATCAGAACCCGCAAACCCTGGGCTCCCGAAGTGGAGTGCACAAACTTAAGCACTCGGCCACTGGGCTGGCCCAGGCTCTCTTGTTTTCTTATGGAACTTTCATAGAGTATGTTTGTGTGTATAACACTTAGCTTTTCAATCCACATAAAAATTTTTTTAATGTATATAGTATAAGATAGGGATTCAGGAAATTTTTTCTAACAATTTTAATAGCCGACTGTTGCAATAATTATTGAATGGTTCTTCATTTCCCCACTGATTTGAAATGTCAAGTGGGCATTTGAGATGAGATTCAAACGAGTGGGAGGATTTAGATGTGGGGAGACAGACAGGAAGCTACCCAGGTGATTAGGGCTAAGTGTACAGCAAGAGCATGGGAAAGCGATGAGTGTTACTTAAGGAATGGTGAGTGTGGTGGTCCTGGACCCAGAAAGTACACAGTTTATAGTGATCCGAAGAATCATTTGGAGAAAAATAGCAAACTAAAATTTTAATACAGGCATACCTCATTTTATGGCACTTTGCTTTATTGAGCTTCACAGATATTGCATGGCAGCCAAGACCCTCCACCAGGAAAAGGATTATAACTCGCTGAAGGCTCAGGTGATGGTTAGCATTTTTAGCAATAAAGTATTTTTTAATTAAGGTATGCACATTGTCTTTTTAGGCATAATGCTATGGCACACTTAAGAGACTACAATATAGAATAAACATAACTTTTACACGAACTGGGAAACCAAAAAGTCATGTGACTTGCTTTATTGTGATATTTACTTTATTGTGGTGGTCTGGAACCAATTCTGCAATATCTTCGAGGTATGCCTGTATACAGCTAAAAGATATATACTTTTTGTTTTTTTTAAATAAAATTCACTATGCATTCAAAGTAAAATCTTTCAGCAAACTTGAAATAAAGGAAACATCTTTGATTTGAAAAAACGTACAGCAAACATTGCACTTAATGGTGAAATATTGAAAGCCTTCCCCATAAGCCCAGGAAGAAAATAAGAATACCTGGTGTCATCATTTCTCTTCAACATTTTAGTGGAAGTCTTAGCCAATGCAGTAAGGCAAGGATAAAGATATAAGGATTAGAAAGGAATAAATATGTCACTATTCACAGATGACATGAATGTGTCAGAACCTCTAAAAGAAGTACAAACGATTAGAATTAGTGACTTAGCAAGATCACTAGATAGAAGGAAATTTACTAGAAGCAAAACACAATTGTGTTTTTATTACTAGTTACAAATAGAAAATACAATTTTAAGACGCAATATAACTTACAACAGAGTAAAAAAGTTAAACACCCAGAAATCCAACAAAAATATATATAAGATTTCTACACTATCAGAAATCATTGAGCAAAATTAAAGAATACTTAAAAAATTCTAAAAGGGAGGATATACACTATTTGTGGATTGGATTGTCAAGATGTCAATTCACCACGAAGGGATCTACACATTCATTGCAATCCCAATCAAAACACCAAAAGGTATTTTTGTGGAAATGTAAGCTGATGTGTAAAAATAAAAAAAAAAAAAAAAGGCATGAGATGAGCAAAGAGTTACGACAATCACTTTCATGGAAAAGCTGAAGTTTGACTGGTTTGGTACTGGACGAAGACGATGCAAGATGAATAGGTAACAAACACTTCTTCAGTATTTGCTGTTGTGTACCAGGCACTCTGCTGGGTGTTGTTCAAAGAGCATTCCACAGAACCTCAGTTCCTGAGATGCTCGGAGAAAGAGGTCGGTAGTCACAAGCCCATAGAAGCTTCACGCTGCAGTCTCCTCCTGGAGATTCAGAAGCACAGTAGGATTTTAGAGGCTCTGAGAAATTTCAGAGAAGAGAAGTAAATAGAATTATGTTTAACCCAGGATTTTCCAGTCTTATCTGATCATGAAGCCTCTCTTTGAGAAACCCTGGCCTGGAGTGCTGTTTACATATATCTGGTTCTCACCATATCCGTGAAGTAGCCAAGGGCTGAATTGTTCATTTTACAGATGAAGAAATGGAACTTCAGGCGGGTGAATACTGACACCAGGTCATACAGTTACTAATACAGAATCTTTGATGCAAACTCAATTTTTCTTAAAAAAAAAAAATCCAGTGCTTTTTCCAGGTAAAACACTACTTTCATATGAAATAACATTTTAGAGATGGAATAAACCTTAGTGATCTCTTGGACTAGTAACCTTATTATGCTGATGAGGCGACTGGGGCCCAGACAAATTAAGTGCCTTGCCCTAGGTCAAGAGCTTGCAGACTAGCAGGAGGAACAAAAGGACCCATGACTCAGTGACTCCCAAGTAAGTGCTCTACTGCCCCGTATAATTAGGAGGCAAATCTGTGTCAGTGGAGGGTGAGACCAAATTAACTGCCCAGATTGAGTAGGCGCTCACAGGTGCTGAAGAGAACGATTTACCTGGGAAAAGATGATACCGGAGCTATGTCAAGTTGTCCTGTAACTTTGAAAGAGGATCTAGGAGCCACTTGTGGACTAGGTTATAATATGATAAAGCACTAAATACTGTAATTTTTAAGAGTTTAATCACCTCATTTGTATTATTTTCTCTCTCTCTTCCAAAAAGTGCCACATACCACTTTAAGAAATTTTAATAGGAATTTGAATTTCTGATGAAGAGTGATTTCACAACACTAATGGGGCACATCCTGGAGTGTCACAGGTTGGGCATCATTTCTCTGAAGTGTGTCAGATACGAGGACTAGAAGAAGAAGGTGGTAAGCATCCACCTGGCTGAACCTGTAGGGCAGGGAAGGGTATGTTTACTGCAGGTGCTGCTGTCAGAGCAGGCGGAGAAACCAAACACTCCCTGATGAGGGCCTTGAGCAGGGTTGGGCTGAAGGCTCGAAGATGTAGTGAAAAAGGGAAAAGCCTATCTTATAAGGGCAGAGGGAAAAACAAGGGACCCTGGGAGACAGATAAAGAGACAGCTGAAAAAGAGGAGGGTAAGTCAAGACGTAAACGACAGGGAAGAGGAAAATAAATGAACACAAGTATTCCATTTGGACTTTAAAGGAACAGCAGCAGTCCTTTCTGGGGGAAACATTTTGCTTGTGGCTGATGGCCACTGGGCAGAATGGGCAACATAGCTTTGAAGTCTGCAGAAACGTTCAATACCATCAGCAGGAAAGGTTCCCTTGGGGACAAGGAAAGAGCATCCAGAAGCAAAAGGGGAAAGTATGTCTGCTGTCCTCTGCTTTATCTTTTCCATGTATATGACTCTTGGGGACCTTACATGGGCAGGGCTAGAGTAGAGCATGATTTAGGGGTTCCTGGGTCCCCTGGGAAAATACCATCATCATATCAAGTTGACGGCACCCCATCCAGCTCCCCAAATGTGCAATCTGGTGCCTACTTAATATGATTTCAATTTTCTTGAGAATTCTGTTCTTTAAGCTTTACTAGGGGGCAAATAAACCTATTCAGTGGATCCCCTTCGCCTCATTTCACTCTCCATATCTCTCTTTTAGCTCATCAGTACTATCTCATGCCCAAGAAGGCAAAAGAGGACATTTAGTTTCTCAAAAGTAATTATTATCTACATTAAAAACAACAAAAAAAGCAAAAACGTAAGGGGTTTCTAGACTCCTAAAATCTCCTTAAAATTTCATAAGTAATCATTAACCCACATGCACCCTCTCTAAATCTGTTGAATTAGAATTGTTCTCCCCCCACACGACAAAATCAGTAGAATCTTTGGTGGCATGGGTACTAATGCTGCCCATGATCTAATGTGAGAGGTGGCTCAAAGGTGGCGCTGAAGAAACAGGCAGATGCTGAGGCACAGAGCAAGCTGATGTGTCAAGAGGAAGGGCTATCCACTTACATTTTCATTTTAAATCTTTGTTGCTTTTCTCTGATTATAAAAATAAATGCTCATTGTAGAAAAATTCAGACCTTTCAGAAATATGTAATTCAGAAAGTGAAAGTAATTCATAACTCCAGCCGTAAGAGCAAATCATTCCAGCTTTTGCCTCTAACATTTATTTAAAAGTCACTAACATTTACTTAAAACAAAATAAAACCCTTGTGGTGGTGGTTTTTTAAAATGGGATCATACTACGTTTAACCCAGCAACTTGCTTTTCTTGCCTAAGTTTTAATTTGGTCTACTGAATAAATAAGAGATCCATCACATTGTTTTTAAAAGGTTGCATAGTATTCTATGGTATGAATGATTCACAGTTTAAGGAAATTTCCACTAATGGAAAGATGTTTTTACAATTATTTTACTTTGGTGAACATTCTTGCTCACATATCTTAGTACACATGTGAAAGCAGTTTTTGGATATAAAATTCTAGGAATGGGTTTGCTGGGTCAAAAGGTGAACGTATTAACGTTTTTATTAGACTATACTTCAATTCTAATTCTTTTTTTTGGTGAGGAAGATTGTCCCTGAGCTAACATCTGTGTCAATCTTCCTCTATTTTGTATGTGGGATGCTGCCACAGCATGGCTTGGTGAGCGGTGTGTAGGTCTGCACCGGGAATCTGAACCTGTGAACCCTGGGCCGCCTAAGCAGAGCATGTGAACTTAACCACTACACCCCGGGGCCGGTCTCCAAATTTTAATTCTTTAAAATTGGTCTGTAGTTTGAAATGGCATCGGCACAATTCTTTGTTGCAAAGTCTTTCAAAGAACGGCCACCAAGTCTAGTTTTTTCTAATTCCTTTTTCAGAATCACTGAGATGAGTTTCCCATCACAGCTGATAGGTGACCTTTTTCAGTGTTTTCAGTTTGTCAGAGCTACATGACTCGAAAGCATGTCAAAAATACTTGCCATTTTGGGGAGTAAGTTTTTGGATTTTTTTTTTTCAGGTGACGTTAACTTCAGGTATCTTTTAGGAGTTTTGAGGATTAAGATAGACAAAATAAGACTAATCTATTACCCAACTCTTCCTTCTTTCATCTCCTGGAGTGACTACAACATGTCAGTACTCCTGGGACAACCACCTGTGTTATTAGCTGCAAGAGGCCATATCTGCCAATTCTCATCTACTTAGCATACGGTTACTGTTTCTAGCAGTTTTCTAGTATTTGTGACATTAAACCTAAGTATTTAGTTCTGACTACTTTAAGCAACACGTCTATGAAATAGATAAAAGGACAAAGAAGAGAGAATTTCAAGTGCAAAATACTGATAATAGTACCTTCCTGCACCTCTTAGTCTAAAGTGGTTTTTGCTTCCTCTGGATTCAGATTTTAAAGTGTCTGTGCTATTCATTAAGTTGGCAATGAACTTCCTTTGGACTTAAAAAAAAGATACAAAAGTTAAACCATCTAAATGTTTATATAAATCAGATCACTATGTTCCTCCTACTAGAATCTATGCTGCATGAGACAAGGGACTTTGGTTCACTTATGTTTCTCCAGCATCTACAATAGCAGCCTGCATATATACGGCATTTCATACATATTTGCTGAATGATAAATTCTTTGAAGTCAAGCATCTTCTTACAGTTTTGCATCCCTATGGTAAATGCCAACTTGCTGATTAAAATTAAGGAAAGGATCTTCATTCAGGAACACAACTTAAGACTTCCCTAGAAGCTAAATGTGAAATATCACTGGCCTAAATAATACTCAAGATTCTTTCCCATATATACAATGGAATACTACTCAGCTGCAAAACAGAACAAAATCATTCCATTTGCAATAATATGGATGGACCTTGAGGGAATTATGTTAAGTGAAATAAGCCAGCTAGAGAAGGATAATCTGTGTATGACTCCACTCATATGAGGAATTTAAAAATGTGGACTAAGAACAGTCTAGTGGATACCAGGGGAAAGGTGGGGTGGGGGGTGGGCACAAAGGGTGAAGTGGTGCACCTACAACACGAATGACAAACATTAATGTACAACTGAAATTTCACAAGATTGTAACCTATCATTAACTCAGTAAAAAATAAAGATTCTTTCCAACCCTAATGTACTATAAATCTACTAGTTTTCAAAGAATTAGAATCTAATATAATATATATACTACTAAAACTAGAGTGAGACTATTGGGTAAATGTTTGATTTAGAAGGCAGTGCACTGATTTTTCTAAGCCTTCCGATCGTCATTATAAAGATCAGATTTCAGAATTAAACTTCATTGACTCCAAGCTATATTCCATAAGTCCCTTTTTTGAAGGAAAAAAAAAAAATCAGGGCATCAAGTTGTTAAGTGGAAATGCCTCCATAATCATGAAAATATATTTTTAATGTTGCTGTATAAGCAAGAAGGCAAAGAAGCTTTTATATTTATATTTATATTCTGGACTAGGCCAATGGTGGTATGACATTAATGAGAGATATCTGCCTTCAAATCCATGTCAAATGTGCAGTTATTTGGATTTAAAGCCAATAAAAATAAAAGCAGTGAAAAAGAATTAAAAAAGGAATCAGAGTGAAAAAAGGATCCATCTAAGTCTGGGGCATATTTTGGATAATATACAACATTTTGGGGAATAGAGGCAGAAAGAAAGATTTAAAAATGTACAAGAATCAATTTTAGAAAGTCACTCCAGAAAAAAGTCCATCTTATAAAACACAATTTAATTCTAGTCTTTTAGTACTTATTTATGTCAGACCACCTCTTACTGGATGTTTGGTTTCCTGTGCTGAGACTTAGAAAAATTATCTTGTGGTTAGAAAATAGCATATTCTCAAGACAGTTGACAGAAAAGACTGGTTTTTTTGGCTTACTATTTTTTACAACAAATTTTACTTTAAAAAGAGAGTGAATTAATCAGATTTGAAATTAACTCGCGCTGGTAGAACTGTAGTGGATATATTCAGTCTGCTTAAAAAAGAAAATAGATCATATCTTGAAGAGGATTTTATATATAAGCAGATGACAGAAAGAATAGGGCCTGAAATAAAGGAGAGTTTCGGGGTGTTTTTTTTTTAAAAAAAAGGAAAGAAAGAAAAAAGAAAGAATTAAGAATACTTGACGGGGAGTGTGGGGGGGTACTTCATAAAACAGAGGAGCTGGAGGAAGGCAGGTGCCCGAGTTAGACTAGAGAGCAAAGTCTGAAGAACCTCAACAGAAGCATTCTTGGGGAAAATGAACGCCAGGAGCCCTCCTATGGTTAATTTACTAAAACAAAAAGGTAAACAAGTATTCAACTTGTTGAGGCTTACAACATCAGAACATAGTACACTTGTAATACCAGACCCTCAAGAAAAAGAAATGCTGAAAAAAAATTTTTAAAGACAAATTATGGAAAAGGTTGTAAAGTAAAAATTAGAACATTCTAACTTACTTGAGGTAGATGAGAACAGAAAATGAAGTACGGATATGGTAAGATATTATTGCTTTCAATTATGCACGTTAGAAACGGAAGAACTGTTAGGATCATACATCGGAAAGCAAATGGAAAATAGTCAATCCTAAAAACGCACAAAAAAGTCAATTTCAGCATTTAAGAAATTCCAAGTAACTGTGTAAAAATTCCTAAAACAAGTGTTTAATAAGAATTTGACAGTCTACCATGCTTGTAATATTGATATTACATTTGTAATATTTATAAATTTTAAATTTAAAAAATAAATCTATTTTAAAAGTTGCTTTTGAGGCTATAAAAAAATTATTCTCTGCCTATTTAAGGGCTCATGGAAAAACTGATGCAATGTTCAATATCTACACCAAAACAAATATATATGAAGTTCTATATTTGATTTTATAGGAATGCCATCTATTAAGGTACAAGGTGCATGAATGTCTCAATGACAGGCGTACGCTCGGCCAGGAATCGTGTTCCGAAACGTGTTCCGAGTGGAGGCGGCCCAGTCCAACTTGATCATTTCCAGGGCTCAATAAATCATCCAAAAGTCCACCTTCCATAGCTAAAGTAGTCATAAAAATAGGCCGATGGTTACTTTAGTCCAGCGATAGCATAATCCTCGGTCTTATTGTTGTGGAGCAGATGTCATGATGGGTGGGGCTGACGGGCCGAGCAGCTGAAAACATTTTTGGACCACCCCCCGCACACTTTCAATGGGATAGAAGGGACTCCGAAAAGGTAAGGGAAAAGCTCTCCACGATGAGTCCCTACCAGAAATAAGGAAGTTTTGGTGTGGTCGTGGTACACGGAAAGACCACAATGAGATTTTTCAAATCTCCCATGATTAAGTCCTACCCTGGAAAAGAGATCGTCCCTTTCTTCCCTCCCCTGCCGGCTTCTCCTTGGGACACTTGGCTGAGTCTGTCTTTCCCTCCTTCCCACGCTGAGGTGAGGCTGCACGCAAACCAGGGACGCCTGTTTTTCTCTTCGCGCGGAGGGAACTCTGCGGGTAGGAAGCTCGGGTGGCAGAATGGGAGCGGGCGGCGCCGTGGGGAGGCCAAGGAGGCTCGCCGGAGACGGGCCGGGCTGGGGTTGAGAAGGGACATGCGGGCCGCCGGGCCGGCCGAGGAGGCCGAGGTGACGAGGGACATCTCCCGGCTCACAGGGCGCTTCCGGCGGGCCCCGGCCGCTCTCAGCCTAGCGCGGCTCGCGTTCCAGGCTCCACCGGCGCGGGCAGGGAGTTAGTAAAGAGGGTAAACCGCAGCTCGCACTTGCCTGTGACCGGGTGACCAATAACTGGTAATAGTCTTTGCTCGGCGCTGGGCCTTGTCCTAAAATTTCGAACAGAGTCTCCGGCAGCCACGACGCCATCTTGGGACGCCACCGCCGTCGCTAAGACAACCAGGAAGAGGCGGGGCTTGACTGGGGTCATGGGGCCAAAGACCTGGTTTAAACTGAACCCTGCTTTTGAGCTGGCAGGGGGTTTCTAATGTGGGGTGATCATCCCATCTTCCAAGGGTCACAGAGAACCCTGATCCGTGAAATTTCCACCTTCAGGTCCCTGGTGACCTGAAGGGGAATTAGTTCCTGCTGCTACGGAGGGGAGGGGGTGACCCCGGCGGAGGGATACCAAGCGAAGCTCATATTCCCCTTCCTGGTCCCTCGAAGGGATCGGGAGGAGATCGCAGGCCGCTGGGGGAGTCGAGCCGGGCCGTGGGGGACGGAAGGGCGATGTGATGGGCCGCGAATAGGCAGCGGGGCCTGTCCCGCGGACGAGCCCGTCAGCCGGAACCGCAGGGCAAAGTAGTTCCCGGAGGGTGTTGGAACGGGCAGGGAGGGAGGCGGCGCGGGCGGAGGCGCACGCCGGGCGCGGTGCTGCGGCTCAGCTGATAATTGAAGGGACCGAGGAGCCGCCGCCGCCGCCGCCGCCGCCGGGGGGGGGGGGGGGAGCGAGTGGAAGTTACTGCCGCGCCACCGAGTCCGGACCGGAGACTTTGGGGCCCAACTAGGTAATTGGGGCGCAGCTCCGAGCGGTGGGGCCAGGCCTCGGAGGAGGGGGCTGTGCTGAGGAGTTGGGGGGGCAGCGGGGGGAGGGGGAGGAGCTGGAACAGAAAGTCCCAGGAAGCCCGGTTGTGTCATCGCCGCGATTCAGCCCCCGCTCGGCCTGCTCCCGGCGGCGGCGGCGGCGGCGGCGGCGGCGGGGCCGCGGAAGGAGTGGGCCGGGGGTTGACGGACGAGGCGCTCGAGGGAGACCGCAGCCGGAGGGACCGGGGCCGGACGGGAGCGGGGGGTCTCTGGGTTCCCCCCTCTGGCCCCCCGCAATGAGGAGGGCCCTTCACGGAACCGGGGTAAGGCGTGTGGGTCTTGGGGAGCCCGGCGGGGGTCGGGGGGGCCGGAAGTGGGCTTTGGAGCTTGGAGGGCGTCTAGGAAGAGAGAAAGTGGGGGGCCGGAAGTGCAGGTGGGGGGTGTGAAGACGGCAAGGGTTCCCCGGAAATGGGATGGGGGGCCCGGAAACCGGGAGAGGGGAGGCTCCTGGGCCAGGGACGGCCCGGAAATGGAAACTAGGGAGCAGCTCGAGTGACAACAGTTGTGGGAAGCGAGGGTCAGAGGAGGGAGAGGCCGGAGTGACTTTAGACCGCAGTAAGGGGTTTCCTGCCAAGGGGGACGGTTGAGGGCGGGCGAGGCCGGAGCCGGGGTCTGCGCCGGGCAGTTTTTCTAGCCGTGGGAAGTTGAGGCTTAGGGAGGATGACAACGAGACGGGCGTGCAGGGGGGGGCATGGAAGAGGCCGAGAAACTTGGCCGAGAGGAGAGCAGAGCATCCTTCTAAATTGATTTGAATGGAAATTGAGGGGGAGGGGGTCCAGGACTTGGAGGAGGGAGGTGGACCAATTGTCACTCCAATCGTATTAGCATTCAAAGCGAGTCAGGCGATTAATTTATTTATATGTGGATTACATAAAACCTATTATAACGTGTGTCCATTCAGTTCACCCTCACTCCTCCATCCTTCTCGAGAGTGAGTGGGTTTCTGGTTCAGAAACAAGTTGGGGGGAGTTCTAATAACGAAGTAAAATCCCACATCCTGTCTTCCCCCATGTCGTTCCCTTCCTCAGAGTAAGAGAAATCCTTAATTTGCTGGAGGGAAAAAATTAATAAACATTAAAAAACACATGCACATCGTGGGGAACTAACTTACCCGTTTGAATTCCTGCTGGGGTAAGGGAGGGAATTGATTCCCCTTGTGTGGGGAGGATAGAACGGAAGGGGCTGCTCCCAAACCCTTAAGACAGATTTGTTTGTTTTTGATAATGCCGTTTTACTTTGGGGGAGGGTTAGCTTAAGCTTCGGGTCTGGTAGGGGGTATAGTTTAGTTGCTTCGTTAGTGAATTGGGGGAGGGAATGTGTCAGTGTGTAAACGTTCGTGTGGGGTGGGGGTGGGGGTACGTTTAATAGCGCAGTGAATCTGTTCCGAGGGGACGTGTAACTGCCCCCCTACTGTCTCTCTCCCTAGTCGGCCTTCTCCGATCTTGCCTGGGCTGCTAAATCACCCGATCCCCGGGCTTTCCTCCGTTTTGTAGGCCGTTTCGTTGTGTGGTTAACTTTCTATTCCTCTCCAGTCTCTTTAGACATTTTTGGCATTTCATTTTTTAAAGACCTGGAAAGTTGAGGCTCAGAATCTCCTCTCTAAAAACAAAACAAAACAAATACGGGGTAGAAAGTTGAAAGAGCTATTGAGTGGGGTAAAAAACCGACGCTCGGAACAAAGGTCCTAGTTGTTGGAGAAAGAGGCAAGAGGCCTATATATGAGGCCTGTGTGTGTCGCATTTACACCCGGGGTGGGGGTGGGGGGGTGGGGGGGAAGCAGTTAGAGTTAAGGAGTTGAATTATCAGAGGTTTAGAGACAATAGATTGCAGAGGGTTTTATTGAGGCTTATTTTCATATTTATAGCATGCAAAGAGATGGATATTAAGTGGGAATTTGAGAGTAAACACAATTTCTAATTCTTTCTTTTGAAACTCCTTCCTCCATGTTCAGTCTCAGAAATATTGAGTTAGTGTGGCTTTTATATCATCTCTGTGAGATTGGGGAGTTTTTATTTCATTTCTTTTAAGCTGAAGAGAGCACATTAACATGGTTGGGGTTTGTGGCCTTTGTCCACATCTGCCTTTCTATGAATGTGCCAATATCCATAAGAATTGAAGAACTGTAATTAAGATTATCATTGTTTCCATTCACTCCCCAGTTTTTCAGGAGTTTGAGTGGTTTTTAAGTCCCTTCAGCTGACATTTACAATTTAGTTTGTATCCATGAACAGGCTTTCTGTTTCAGTTTTTCATTTACTTTCTCAAAGTTTTAGAACACTTTTTGCAGTAAGAGTTTCAGAAGGTGCTAAACTAAAATAATTATGTTTAACAAATGAAGGGGCTGCTAGGCCAGCGTAAAATCCGTCCTTTCCCCCAGCAAAGTAAATTCGAAGTAATGTTTACTTTTCCTTTCTAACTTTTAAGATTGCTGGATTTATGTTATCTAGATAAGGTTTTATGATCCTGTTTTAAGGACAGCATCCCAGCAAAGAGACACAGACTGGCCTGGGAATTCACATGCTGCCAGTTAGTAGCTGTGTGACCTTGAGCTATTCACCTACCCTGTCTGGTCTATAGTTACTTAATCTGTAAAATGGGCTTGAGTACTTCCTGTTTTACCTCACTGGCTGGGTGTGAGACCCAGTGGATATAATGACTGTGAAAAACTACTAAATAAGGGTAAGATATTATCATTAGTTTTAGAAAATTATGTTATCTATTTTGAAGTCATTAAAAAAAGATACGGCTTCTCACCAGTGGTGGTGATGGGGGAGGCGTTGATGTAAGGTGGGTTGAAGATACGAAGTTATAGCGATTTATAATTTGAAATGGCTGCTAAATTGGTGGTGGAACTTGGGCCCAATTTTTATCTGTTAAAATATATTTTTTTTTTGCATCAGCATGATAGATACTTTTTCAGTATACATCCTACTGAATAAATTTGTTAATTCTGTTTAAAGTAACTTCAGACAAATTTCTTTGCGCTTTTATTATTGCAAAAATTTGTGCCTGTTCTGGTGTGAAATTGATTTTCTAGTATCAGAGACTAGGAAAAACAATTCTGAATCTTGATCTGTTTATAGAATCTAGGGAGCTTTTTGTTTTTAATTCTTTTAAGTAGATGGGTGGGGATCTTTTTGAGCAAATGTGATACAAATTGCACCTTTATTTTTCCCTGTTTGGAGAAGTAATTTGAGGGACTCCCGTCGGAAAAGCGTCCTGCTTGTTACTTTTCCTCTTCACTTAAGTTCTCGTTCCTGCCAGCGTGATGTGGACTTTTCCATTTAAGTCATTTTAGGTTCGCTTCAACTCACCCCTTCAAGTCATTTCCTCAAAAACTTCTATCCCGTGATCTTTTCCTTTTATTTCTTGATTAACTTTATATCCTTCATTTTTGGATTATAGTACTCAATTTGTTGACATGTGTTGCTTTTGTTTCCTCATCTGGATTATAGGCTTCCTGAGGGCAAGGGTTATCTCATATCTAATGAAGGTACACTCACAAACCTCATTGGAAATAATACCCATTTTCCTTCCCACTCCAAACCAGTAATGTCAGCCTGGTCTTGCTCAGTATGGAACCAGTCTTCCTGCTCGCAAAGGTTCTTGGTGCCAGCGGATTCCTCAGGATGCTGTTTGGTTTAGTGATGACTGCCTCTTCACAGCTTCCTGGCTAATGTGCCATCAGAGTTCCTGCATAGGGTGCAGGGTGCAAGAGTAAGAATTCGGTGGATATTACGCTGTAATTTGTAGATTATGTAATCTTGATGCTGGTAGTTCTTAACATGTAATGTTAGCTTTATATTTGTGTATTTTCTTTTAGTGCCTGAGTATAGTTCCAACAGCTATGTTACAGATTTCTTGAAGACAGAAACCCTAGCCCTTGTCCTTTACGTCTTCTAGCTTGTTGGCTAGGTTACTCTGTACGTAGTAGGTGCTTGCTGTTATTTGTGGTAAGTAGATAAATATATTGATGCTGTCGTCTCTTGATTTTTAAAGAAAATTTAATTTGGCTAATGTCCTGGATTTTTTAAAATGCAGTTCTCTAGTTAAGTCTAATATCCTAACTTTTGATACTTTAGGTTATTGGCAAAAGAAGCTGTTTCCTAGACTGAAATAAGTTTGTTGAATAGTTTTTCTTTGAGGCCTTTTAGATTTTCTTTGTGATTCTCGTAGTTTCATTATCCTGGATTGGCCAGAAGAAAAAGGAACTTGTCCACTATTCAGACTTACCTGTTTTGTCTTCAGCATGCAGAAGCTGTTGGTACTAGTTTTGTGGTTGGGCTTGATTTAAGAAGTCATTCTAGCAGCCTAGAATTAAAACTGCCTGCTACTCTGTGCTCTTTCATAAGTGAACAGTGCTGTTCAAGTGAGTATCTGATTTGAAGGTGGTAAAAGACTTGAGTTCCAGACCTAATTCCCTTTTCTGTCTTTCCACTGTCTTTTCTCTCTATCCTGTCCTGATGCCTTTTCTGTCTTTGTGACCTTGGGTGAATAATTTAACCTTTGTGAGTTTCAGGTGTC